GTAAAAAATGAAGCGTTGTGTGGAAGCGATTAGGCGTGGCGTTATTCGCTAAGAATAGAAGCACAATAACTTTGCCGTCTCTCTCTCCCTATCATACGGTTGCTTTCAATATTCGCACGCTAACACCTCTCCGTAATTGCGATCTTCTCTACAGAGCAAAGCAGATCGATAATCGAGTAGAAGACAATGGTGAAGGACAGGAAGGTCGGAGTGGCCATGGATTTCTCAAAGAGCAGCGAAGGGGCGCTGAAATGGGCCATTGATAACTTAGCTGATAAGGGGGACACTTTCTATATCATCCACATCAACACTCACGCCTCTGATGAATCTCGCAATAAGCTCTGGTCTCAATCCGGCTGTCGTAAGTTGAAAAAAAATGAAACTCTGGCCTGATTTTGGATTTGATTATGGATGTTTATTTGTTTGTTTGTTTTGATCATGTTTTATAGCTTTGATTCCGCTGTCCGAGTTTCGCGAGCCTGAGTTGTTGAAGAAGTACAATGTAAAGGCTAATATGGAAGTTCTCGATTTGCTTGATACCGCTACTAGGCAGAAAGAGGTATAAATTCAATCTGATCTCATCACCTTTAACCTCTGTTTATATATATTCTATGGGGCTTAAGGAGAAAGATCTTTTACTAATCCAATAATTGTTTATAGATAACCGTTGTTGCAAAATTGTACTGGGGTGATGCAAGAGAGAAACTCTGTGATTCAATTGAAGATCTGAAGTTGGATTCTCTGGTTATGGGCAGCAGAGGCCTTAGCAGCCTCCAGAGGTCCTTTCTATTAATATTATTCCTTTCTTGCTATTTTAGTAATAAATTTGACATTCCCCCTTCATTTCTCCACCTGATCTGTATCAAAATCGGTTATAATTTTGTGATTAATGTTCATCTAAAGGGTCATGTCATCTTTGAATTTGATTTGAGTTCTTATTACCTGGATGTGTGATATTAAAGTTTTGATGTTTTTTTAATGGTGTGATGGAGACAGGATTATCATGGGAAGTGTGACCAACTATGTACTGACAACTGCAACCTGCCCTATAACTGTGGTGAAGCATCCAGATTTTCACAAGCACTGATGGAGGAAGAGAGCTGATGAAAAGTGAGTTGAGTTCCAAACATGAATAAGATGCGGAGCTTTTTATTATTATTATTTTTTATGTTAATGTTCTTGTGTTTTTGTACTATCTAAAGAACAAGTTGTGTTCCTACCCAGATTGTGTCTGTATTAGACTTATATTGAGTTTATGGTGTTAATTTTATTTCTTTGAGATGTTTCTCTATAACTTTTTTTAAATGTCATACCATTTTGTTGTTATCGGCATTAGTATTTCTTCTTGCATTAGCTTTTTGTAACCTTCTCCAGATGCCTGCATACCTCCATTATCTCCTTTAGTTTTTTTTTTTTTTTTTTTTTTTTTTTTTTTTTTTTTCTTTTTGAGTGATGAAGAAACCACAACCAGTATTTGGGGGGTGTATACTGGATAAAGCTGTGAGGTGCCATTACTAACCCTTCCCAGGCTGTCGCCCTCTAAGGTGGCACAATATCCTTGTGCGCTCAGCATTAGTTGAATGTTGTGGGGTGCCATACTGCCATTGCTAACCTCTTTCCAGGTTGAGAAGTACAGTAGTAGAAAACGTTTGTTCAACGAAAATGAAAAAAATAAGGAAAAGAAACCATCACTGGTCCCCTAAGATGTCCTATTCAACCTGCTACGGATACACCCTTTTTTTTCTTTTCTTTTTTTAATCAAGTGTTCCTTCACTAAGGAATCTTCAACTACATGAAAACAAATTCATCTGAATGGTCATACGTTGAGTACTACTAACTCTATTACAATGTAGTATCTATTCTACTATTCAGTTATGGCAACTCGACCACGGCAATATAATGTTGGTATATATAAAACTTGTAACTCAAATATTGTGATGGTAAACCAAATTTAATATTTACTCTTTTATTTCTTTGAGTGTCAATAAAACTAAATAATTTATTATTCAACAAAATATATAATTTATATATTTGATAGAGTAAATTGTTGAATGTTGAATATGATTAATAAGGATTTCAATTACTTAAGATATTATACGAATATTTTGTTAGAATAACATACAATAAATAGATATCAAATTCTAAACAAATTAACCAATTAGTTCCCAATTGTACAAGATTTATATATATACGACATTTATTTAGTTACACAATGCGCTTCATTTAATTTAATGGAATAAGGGTCAAATAGGCCATCGAACTGCACTTAATAATGCAATTAGGCCACCGAACTTCAAAAAGCTACAATTGGGTCCCTGAACTAACGAATTCTATTCAATTAGTCTAATTTGTAGGTTTCCAAGTTGTTAGCAGGTTACCCCTTTTCAAATTTTTTTTAATTATTATTTAAAATAATTATTTAATATTAATAATTTAAAAAAAAAAAAAAAAAAAAACAGATTGACACACCGGAGACGAAGAAGGTTTCTTCGTCTCCGGCCATGGAGACGGAGAAACCTTCTTCGTCTCTGGCTGGAGACGAAGATCGGAGACGAAGAATATCTTCGTCTCCATGGCCGGAGACGAAGAGACTCTTCGTCTCCGGCCATGGAGAAGAAGAAGGTTTCTTCATCTCCGGCAGAGACGGTATCTTTTTTTTTTTTTTTTTTTAATTTTAATTTTAAATAATAATTTTTTTAAAATATTATAAATTAGGGGTGACCTGCTAACAACCTCCAAAACCTACAAATTGGACTAATTGAATAGAATTAGTTAGTTCAGGGAGCTAATTGTTGCTTTTTAAAGTTCGATGACCTAATTGCATTATTAGGTGCAATTCGATGGCCTATTTTACCCTTATTTATAATTTAATTAGATAATGGCAAAAGGGGGAAATAATGTTACAGAATTGTATTGTCTTCCTATAAATGGGTTGAAGCCCATATGGTAACTGGGGCAGTAGGCTTGTGACCATATTCTCGGCAAATTATGTTGTGCATCTGTATGCACCATGCATGGTGCATACGGATGCAAAAACAACGTCGTTTTAATAAAACGTGCGTCTTCCCTTAAAAAAAAAAAATCAGGTTCGATTCCCAGCAACAACATATGAACTAAAATTCCATAATCGATGAACTATAATTCCATAATCGATGAACTATAATTCCATAATCTAATCTATGAACTAAAAATTCCAGAATGAATGAACTAAAATTCCATAATCTATAAACTAAAATTTCAGAATCGATGAACTACAATTCCATAATCGATGAACTATAATTCCATAATCAATGAACTATAATTCCATAATCTATGAACTAAAATTTCAGAATGAATGAACAATATAATGTTGTTGCTGGGAATCGAACTTAATTTTTTTTTACAAGGGAGACGCGCGTTTTTTAATAAAACGACGTCGTTTTGGCATCCGTATGCACCATGCATGGTGCATACGGATGCACAGCATAACGATTGCATATTCTCACAAAGCAAATTGCTTCTGCCGAACTGAAATTTCGGATCTAAGGAAGATCCAAATTTAGGTTTAGTCAAACCGGATCCATATTATATGTTCAAAAAAGTCGGTGTTGGTCCTATTGGAATATACCTAAAGGCTAAAGATTGGGTTGGAGGGACTGTGTTCAAAATACAAAACTTCAAATTCTCAATATACCAAAGACAAAGAGTATAACCAATCCTTTACTATAATACATAAAAGTATAAACTATCACTTTACTTTTCAAAACTTCAAATTAACAAATATACCCACACTCAAAAAAAAAAAAAAAAAAAAAAAAAGGAATAACCAAACCTTTAGTATAAAGTATAAAAGAAAAAAGTAGATATTTCAATTCTACAAGGAATATAATTACTTTTTCCTACAAATTATTCAAATTATTTTGGATCAAATACTTGTTTATAACAAAATAATACATTTTATTTTTGGGTTCAAACAAAAGACCCTTTTTCTTGTCTAGTTCTCAGAATCTCATCCTTTGTTATTTTTACAAATGGCAACAAGTGGTGTTGATTGTGCGTGAAGCTTCCCATTTATGGTCCATAGCTTTATATTTTGTCTCCCTTTTTAAGATTCCAAGACTTGCAATTAAAATTGTATCACAAAGTAATATTTTAAAGGAAAATATGTTAAGTTAGATGTGTGACGTGTATATGATGTATAATTAAAATATTTTATATGTTAATTCGATATTGAAAATTTAATGTGTTTGACATTCTATAGATAACAATATTAGGCTAAAACTATTCTTGAAATTTACCTTGATAGGAAAATACCTAGCATGAGGGACCCCGATCCGAACCTGATTAGATTAGCGTAGACAGATCCGATCGGATCTCCTGAACTTGAGTAAAATGGGTAGGGCATTTCGAATGGCACCAAACATGTCGACCCTCCTTTCCCATTTACTAACCAAGCAACCGTAGGGCGTGAGTACCAGACCCCAGCCTTCCTCGCCGCCAGGACTCTTCGAGCACGTGGCAGCTAAGTTCGACTTCAGAAATCTTTTTATACTTGGCGCCACCGTTCTGACTTTCCAGTTATCCAGGCACTATGTGGATGGCATGCCAAAATGTCGGCATTCGGCACCGTTACCCCTTATAAAAATCCCCCAATAGCGCTAGAGGGAGGAATGAAAAATTGGAGACTTGTATTGTCTGAAAACACGTTTCCCGACCACTGTACTCCACCATATTTCAATATCCAATAATCACCTAATTGCTAGGTGATGTAAAATTTTTTTAGCTTATGTGTATTGAAAGCTTTCAAAGAAGTACAAAAATTGTCATTTGACATTCTTTTATTATGTTCAAAAAAAAGTTTTTATTTTATTTATTATTATATTGTTACTATTTTGTGATTATATTATAATGTGATGTGAAAACGATACCACTTTTAAAAGTGATAAAGTATTATAGATTTGCAAATGTAGAAAATAGGAAAAGAATTGTAAATTTGATGACGTGAGAGTAAGACGCACTTTTAAAATTGAGTGCATTACAGGAATAAAGATAGCATGATCCGTAGAAGAGGTTAATATTATTACATGGCAATGGGAGTATTCATTTGAATCATTTCCCTTAATTTTCACTTTTCCCCTATAAAAACAGAATCTTTACGGATTGAGCTCTTCACTCCAAGAAGAAAGCAGTGGCAGCCATAGCTCAAGCATTGACAACTAGAGCTCCAAAGCCAATCAAGAATCCGCATTGCAGTTCCAAGAATCCAAAGGTTTGGCTCCAAATGCTTCTACTAGATTGCATTGCAGCAAACAGCTCTGCTTCTTGTGCCTCACCTTGTTTTCTTGGCGAAAAGATGGAGATTTTGGGCGAAGTTTTTGAAGTGGAATGGAAGCTGGATGAGGATGAGGATAAAGCTGGGCGTTTTGAGTATGCGAATGGAGAGAAGAAGAGCAGTTCGAGCTCTAATAGTAGCTCTGAAGATTCATCCTCACCCTCTTCTGTTGTTTCTGAAGCAACAGAGAAACCATATTTGGATTACAGGAAATGGGAAAAACAAGGATCATCTTCACCAGGTAACTATCATTCTTCATTCTTTCATGGCTGTACTAGGAGTGCATGTGTATTTATAATCCGAGGTTGTTGAATTGCAGAGATTGGGATGCTTAAGGATACATTCTCGAAACTGCTCCTCGGAGAAGATATGTCGGGCGGTGGAAATGGTGTGTCTGCAGCACTGGCTGTTTCAAATGCGATTACTAATCTCTGTGGTATATATGCTGCAATTCTTGCTCAATCTGCTTCTGCATCATCATCATCATTTCATCTTGCCTCATTCGTCGTTTTTTTCTTCCTGCTAGCTGCAATTTTTGGGAAAATCTGCAGACTGGAGCCTTTGCCTGCTAAGAAGAAAATATCATGGAAGAGAGAAATGGAATGGCATCTTTGTGTTAGCGATTACATTGTGGAGTTGACACCATCTTGGCAGACATTCCCCGATGGGACTGAAAGAGAGGTGATGGTGTCTAGACCGCGATCAGATCTTTATGTCAACCTCCCAGCTCTTCGCAAACTAGATAATATGATCCTGGTAAGATATGACGTTCTCTCGTTTAAAAAAGTTTAAGCTAATAGTGAGATTAGACGTTTATATGTTATATCCTCGGGTTGCAGGAAATCATGGACAGTTTTGAAAATACCGAGTTCTGGTATGTGGACCAAGGCGTTTTAGCCCCTGCAGAGAGTGATGGTTCGAAGGAGAAATGGTGGTTGCCTGTTCCTCGAGTTCCTACGTGTGGTCTCACTGGAAACGCAAGAAAGGTGTTAAAGCAGACGAGGAACTGCACGAATCAGATTCTGAAAGCAGCCATGGCCATTAACTGCAGCACTTTAGCTGAAATGGAAGTCCCAGAATCATACTTGGAAGCTCTTGCAAAGGTGAAAGACCCTGTCACTCTGTATATATATATTCAATTAGAACATCTCAAACCGATGTTCCTCGTTTAGTGTTGGACAGAGGCCAGTGAAGGGCCAAATCCAGCTCTCAGTGGCTAGAGGATTGTTGGGCGGAGGCCTGAAGGGCCAAGTTCAGCACCCTGCCTTTCAAAAATGTGGTCAGTTAAAGCTAGCTCGCAGGTGCTGGAGGGGATTGTTTTGTTCTCGTTGATCCTAACATAACATTTAGCTTTGTTGTTGCAGAATGGTTATGCGAGCTTAGGTGAGGTCATCAATGGATACAACATCTCGGATCAATGTTCGCCTGAAAGTTTGCTTGATTGCCTCGATTTGTCTTCTCACAATCGAGCTCGGGAGATAGCCAACCAGTTGGAGGCTTCAATGCACGTGTGGCGCCAGAAAACTCACTCGAAGCTGTCGTGGGAAGGGGTGAAGGAGATGGTGGTTGATGCAGATAAGAGAGAGCTGCTTGCATACAGGGCTGAAAGCCTTCTCCTCTGCCTCAAACAGCGGTTTCCTGGGCTTCCTCAGACAACATTAAACATGACCAAAATCCAACACAACAAGGTTTCTTTCACCTGTCTCTTTACATGATTCATGTTTTGTCTCTCATCCTCTCACTGGATCTTCTATTCTTCCTCAGGATCTTGGCAAATCCATTCTGGAGAGCTATTCAAGAGCTCTGCAGAGTTTGGCATTCAACATCACAGCGCGCATCAATGATCTTCTTTACGTCGATGACTTGACAAAGCATTCGGATCCTTTCATGCCCGTTTCTCGGAAGAGCACAGGAACACCAAGCTCCTCGCCTTCCCAGGGCTTCAGTGCATCAAAGGAAGAAGAAAAATCACATATTCAAGATAACAGCAAGCTTCCTCCCCGCGATTGTGGAGGGAGGAAGGCTTTGACAGATTTCTTGAGCATTGATTTAAATGGCAATCGTGTTGCCAGTAATGATCTCAGAAAACCAGTCTCATTCTCAAGCACATACCAAGAAATGTCAGTAACAGAAGATGAACTCAATACTTTGAATTCTTGTATTTAGTCTTAGTTATAGCAGGAAATGTGGGTATGTGACATGGTTTCTGACAAGGAACATTCTACCTTGGTGCAAACAAGATGTTTTCATGACCAAACCTTAAAAGTATAGTCTCAAAATTGGGTCTTTTATGTAGCAGTCACAACTGACCTCCATTTCCAACCAGTTTGAGATGGATGCCATAGATGACAAATGGCAGTGAATATAGACAAATCCAAAATATGAGACCAAGATAACTAGATAAGATTACCACCGAGCAACATCACGTTACAAACCCGAAAACTAAAACATCAAACAACAACTGCTTTCATTTTCATTCCGACCAACAATCTTTGTCATTGCCCCGTGAACCTTATCTGGCAAGCAGACACTAATGACCAAAGCTGGGAACAGTTTTATGGACCACACAATAGTCCATTTCAACACTTCTTATCACAGAACTTGGACACATTACACAAATTATTATGTTCTATGGGGCATACAACAGGGTCTGATATTAACACCCGAGAAAGAAGATAAAAATCGATTCTTTTCCACCCTCGTAGGTCATTCAGAATTCGACAGGCACTAAGAGCTTCTAATAGATAAAACATTGATAACGACAGTAAAAACTAGGTCTATACTGTGTGGACTCCCTCGAAAAGCAACTGAAAATAGACACTCACTCTTCATTTGCGAAATAGAAATGATTTGACAGTGTAAGTTGAAGAACTGACACATATATCTCCCCTCAATGATAGGAACAAAAGACAATTGATTCTCTTCTGATAAAAGCATCAAACTTTGTTATCCTATACAGTAGAGGTAAAACAGAAGAAAGGAAAACTACTACAATGACATATAATGACTGATATTTGGAAAACGAAACCAGCAAGAGGCTGTCTTTGCCTAATTACTGCCCACTATCTATAGTCTACATTACAACGGGGTAGAGGGGTAGAACGGTCTCCCACCATATGTTCACAGCTACCTGACAAAAAATAAAAGATAAAAGTAGAAACATAAGCATCACAAGAATAATCAAGTTCACACTGGCAGATAAGTTGGAGTTGAGTCAAAGGACGACTCTGTTGTCTTCTTTTGATTTATATCTTCTGATAATTTGAAAGAAAATTGGAACCAAAACGTAGATAACGGAGATGCATGATTTACATGATTGGTGTTATGGAAATAGGACCAGTAATCAAAATCTTTAACACCACTCTGTAAAGTATGGCTATCCATGAAAGAACCTTGATTAAATTTTCATTCTCTTTGCTTATATCTGATTACAGAATAAAATATATTCATTGACAGTAAAATTTTAAGGGGTCAAAATCCAATGATCAACTGGATAATGTTTTGAGGATTAAATGAGTAGCACAAGATTTGACCTTGGAGAGGAGGTTCACCTAGACCCACAGGGAGCTATAACACTATTTTATTAAAGAAGAGACTTTATTAACCGGGAGACATGCCTCTCCTTTAATAAAAGCACTCCACTATGTATAATGCATCAAATCAAAGCAGATAATACAATCATAAACACGAGGTAATTACATGGCATGAAGCATTGCAGATAACTTTTCTCAAGTTCATTTCATAGATAATTAGATACAAAAGTACATATCTAAATCAAGAAGTAAAATCAACTTTACATACCTAGGTAATTATATATGTGAAATATGCACGCCTTTTAGTGGTGAGCTCTTAGTAATAGAAAGACCCTGAAAAACATTAATAAAAAAAAGCACCAAGATATGAGTAAAACTAAATAGCTCAAGCTCAGATATGATTCTATACAGCGATGTAATAACCACACCATTTACCTTTCCACCAGTTTCCTCTGGACACACTTCCTTGCTCATCCTCTCCAATATCTTTCTTGAACTGACAATATATTACAGGGTTAATGTTTTATTCCTTAATCACATTTGTTTCTAATCTCAATGGAATTCTTTGATTGGAAGAGAGTTATTCTTTATTCCAGCTACAAGAAGCAATATGATTCCCACGGCAACATAGGAAACACGAGTATTTCTTAACTTTGAATTCTTTATTGATAAAGAAGCTGCTTAAGTGGATTAAGTTATTAATATACTTACAGTTGAGAACTCGCTGTTGTTATTTTGAGGATGAGGATAGATGTCTTGGCCCCCATAGTATATTGATGAGCACAAAGAACTTGGTTGCGATTTCTGCTCCTGATAAAACAGGCTAGTGTCCTTACTCTGTGTCCATTGGCTTGCAACTTCACTGCTAGGAGTACTGCCTGAAAAACCACCCAGAATTAGCAAGTTTGCCATGATAGAGATATGATCCAAACAAGGACTTTCAACAACACCATATAAATTGGAAAATTTTAAAGTTCTTTCTCAAAAATCTAGAATTCCCACTTATATATGATTTCCCATGAAACAAAACAAGAAAACAACATCTGCAATGTAAAAGGAACAAACTTTTAAGGCTTAGCATCCACTTGACAACACAAAAACCTGAAAACTCTCACCTTTGGCATTCCACACCTGAGTCCCGGGATCTTGCTTCCAGTTTACCATCTCAGGACGCATGGAATCCTGTCCCATATCAAGAAGAGATATATATATCAATGAGAGCAATAATCCAACAGAATACTAGAGTAGTATTTAGTGATTAACCTAACAAAAAACTACTCCGAATTATAATGTACTCCGTGCTTATTTTAATCAAGAAGATATAAGTTTTAATATTTCCAGTCTTTGCTTGTCCAAGTAACTTGAAATCTGAACATGCAAAAGCATATTCGCCTTCCTGAGAAAGACTGGATATTGAATTCAAGAAGTATTTCCAACAAAAAGTCGTATATAAAGAAGGGGAAAACTGGGAAAATGCAGAAGAGCAATTACAGAAATAAGCAAAACTGATTCAAGAATTTCCCACCTAAAGAAAGATTCTTCTTCATAAATCATGGTGACAGAAGAGAATAATACCTTTGAAGGGGGTGCGAAAATGGACGCGAAAAGTGTTGGGGGAGATGACCCGGATGAGTCTTTCACCCCGAAAAGATCAGAAGTCAATGAAGAACCGGATTGCTTGTTTCCTTCCATTTCTTTCAATCTCTCTGTTTCCCTTTAAACTCTCTTGGAGAAGCGATATATGGACTGAACCAAGAGAGCACCTTTACAGGTATATAAGCAAAACCCACCGTCAAGAAGCCTCGGAAAAAGGCCGAAACGGCTCACCAATTTCCCGCAGAAACGAACAGAAGAAATTAAGTGAAAGCGAAATACAGAAAAGGAAAAAAAGAGAAAATTTTGTAACGGAAACCGAAAGAAAGAAGATGATTAAAAAAAAAAAAGAACACAAAGGGAGGAGAGACACGTGACTTCTATCACTTTCTCTCTCTATATATGTATGGTTTCTCTCTCTATATTGCTGTGATCTTGTTTGGCCGATGATCTCTCTGTATTTTCATTTCTCTCTGGAACTCTTCCCTCTGAATATATATATTATTATATGGAAGCTAAGGGAACGATTTAATCTCGCACATAAAATTGTTTATATTCTAACATATACAAATTAATGCATTTTTAATTATTTACCTAATTTAAAATGCATTTTAGAGAGCGATTGAAATGACTTAAGAAATCTACCATTTTAATCACTTATTATTTACTAAATATGGATTAAAATATTTTTTTACAAAATGCATTATAACATTTTCCATATAAGCTATGATTTTGTCTAATCGGCAAAACTTTGAACCTTTTATTATTTGATGTGTTTATAGTAATTCATTAATTGTACTAAGAAACATACAAATTAATTAAGAGAGTAATTTTTACTTTTCGTCTATCAATTATTATTTATTTTTCACATTTAGTATCTAATTATTAATATTGTCATATTTGGTGCACTAGTATGTTTTTGTTGCCATATTTGGTCTTACCAGCCAAATTATCGACAACTGTTCGCTAAAAAATGTAATTTTATTCCAGCTAGTGTTGCTATAGGGAAAAATTATCAATTTAAATTTAAATATACAATACTATTATTGTGGTCAGATGAATTGTAGTGGCTCTTTTATATGGGAAGTCATGAGATCAAGCCTCAGTCGAGACGTTGTTGGCTCTTTGTGCTTTCAATGTAATAGAGTCCGTAGTACTCAAAATATACAATACTTGACTCTTTGTGCTTTCAATGTAATAGAGTCCATAGTGCTCAAAATATACAATAATATTATTAAAATTTGTCCTTGTTGCAACCTCGAATAACATTTTTAACAAGTAATTGTGAAATATTTGTCCAAAGATACCAAATGTGACAACAAAAACATACTTGTGCACTAAATGTAACAAAATTAATAAATAAAAATCAAATAGGAAAGAATGAATATAATTGATGAATCAAAATGATAATAACTCCCTTAATTCATCACTACTCCGGTTCGAAAATATGTGTAGATATTGACTATTTATACTTTAATAATTTTAAAAAGTATGTATAGAAAGATACTACATTGTAACAGAGTTAATAATATTAAAAATATAAAATATTAGCGATTTTAGAAAAATAATTATATATAAAATTGTGATTAAAAAAAAAAAAAGGAGAGATTTTGTGTTGAATAGAAAGATTAATTATATTATTAAGAAATAGAATAAGATATGTGTTGATGGATGGGTGGTTTCGGTTGCTCAGTTTCGGTTACTCGGCGTTAGTTCGTCATAGGGTTCTACCTGTCGAAAGTGTAACAGATTGGTGACACGTAGAGCAATGGATTTGGGAGGTGGGGCCAGAGGCAGGGAGTTCCAACGTTTTACTGCCACGAATACCTAGTGGATAATAACAGACTCTGCCCTATGGCCCCACTTTTGTACAGTTCTTTTCGTTGAATCCAACCCCAAGTTTTTGACTTTTCCTTTTTAAAGCCCTATGGATATGCTCATATTTACATACTCCTCTTTGTCTTTTCCCTCCTATTCATAGCGTAAATGTTTAGATCGGTGAATAATAGAGTAAAAATACTAAAAAAATTTCTTTCTTAATGACAAAGGAAATTTTAGAGATTCTTGGTAATAAGGTTTGTTTCTTTTAATTTTTTTTTTTAAAAAAAAAGTATTTTCTAAAATTTCTTTCTTAATGACAAAGGAAATTTTAGAGATTCTTGGTAATAAGGTTTGTTTCTTTTAAATTTTTTTTTTTTTAAAAAAAGTATTTTAGGGAAGAAAATGGTATTATTTTCGTTATAAGCGTGATATTATTGAAAGAAAAAATATATATTTCTCATTTTTGTATAGGAGCATGATTTATTCAGTATACATCGACCATTTATTATGCATGTCCTGGACCTAGAAGAGCATGGCAAATTATGTTGTGCATCCATATGCACCATGCATGGTGCATACCGATGCAAAAACGAGTCGTTTTATTAAAAACGCGCGCCTCACTTTAAAAAAAAATTCAGTTTCGATTCCCAGCAACAACATTATGTTGTTCATAGATTCTGAATTTTTAGTTCATAGATTCTGAATTTTTAGTTCATTGATTATGGATATTTAGACGTGAATCGAAACTGATTTTTTTCATTCATGCTGGATATTTAGTTCATTCATTATGGATTTTTAGTTCATTCATTCTGAAATTTTAGTTCATAGATTTTGAAATTTTAGTTCATCAATTCTGGAATTAAAGTTCATTGATTCTGGAATTTTAGTTCAAATTATGCACAATATAATGTTGTTGCTGGGAATCGAAACTGAATTTCTTTTAAGTAAGACGCGCGTTTTTAATAAAACGACGTCGTTTTTGCATCCGTATGCACCATGCATGGTGTATACAGATGCACAGCATAACGATCCTTGTAAAGGGACGGTCGATTATTGAACTGGGGGCAAGCTGGAGGATTTTTTTTTTTTTTGAATGTTACAGGCTCGAACTCACAACCTTCCAAATGGAAGTCTAACCCGGGTACCATTGGACCATATAGTACTGGTAGCTGGAAGATTGGATATAAGAAATCCTTGAATTTTTTGTCTGATTGGTGGGTTGGCTCGAAACCCATTCCCTTAGATATGTACATTGACATTTCAAAAGAGCTAGCTAAATGTGTCTTCTATTCTCTTATAATTAAAGACTATAACTTACTCAAAACATCTTTTGATCTAACTAAAAAAATTACATTCAATGAAAATAAATCATATTATTTATACAAAAAAAATTACACCTTACTATATATTTTGATTTTCGAACACAATGTTTTTATTATTTTTTTATTTTTTCCAAAAATTTCTTTACCTACTAATTTATCACCATTTTCCCCCTTCTACTTTCTATCCATCCAAAGTCCAAACTCCAAATTCCAAACACCGTACCGCACTACCACCTGGTGACTGGCCTAAACTTTCCGACGGCATGCAAACGTTGAAAGAGACGTCGGAAAAGAAAAACGTTAATATTCAATGCATTTTGATGCGTGGAATAAACGGAGTTCTCTAGTAATCAGAATATTCCCAGCCGCTATGAGGTATTTGGTTGGGAGGAAGGAAATTACAATTCCGTGGAAAAAGAATAAAATAAAAATTCAAGTTACATTGTTCGGTATGAAAAAAAATAATGGTGTAACAACTAAAATATTCATGTGTAATAATAATAATAACAATTACCAATGATACTCTTGTCACTTCTTCTAGTTTTTCCTTTTCCACAAATATGGAGTATCCAATGAATTGCAATTCAACAAAAGCAGTGAATTACAATTCGGTGAAATTATAATTCTTTCAAATTAAATAATGTAATTAAGACTTTCATTGAATTACAATTCAATTAGAACCAAATTACATTATTCAACCAAACGGCCTGTTAAATACATTTCTGACTCCTGACTTTTCCTTTTACTTTCTATTCATCCAAACACGGTATGGATGGTGTGGTTAAGGTCTTGCGTTTATGGCAGATTTATTTATTATTTATTTATTTACATCCATCACGTGATGTTACTGTCTGCATATATCTTTTCGTCAAACGGTACAAAAAGGAAACAAATGCATGTTGGTTCCATCAGATCATCGTATTGGGTGTTCAGTCATCTTTATATCTATTCAGAACAACTTTTTATTTGCACAGTTTGGTTCAGAAATGGTTTTATTCATAAAATAAAAATTCATCATTGATGATAACGTAACCAGTCGACAGATAAATACATACCTAAATAATGTTTGTCCTCGTTCACACAATTGGGAAAGGAACACACATACACCTACCGGAAAATTAAACAGTACAGTGGCATCATCGTTTTGTCTTGTCGCACCGCCGTGCATGGCTTGTCTTCCTGCATGTTCATCCCCTCAAAACTTTGCATAAAAGTTTGTATTCTTTTAGGGAAATTTGTTTGTTTGTTTTTTTAATGTCCATATATAATTATAGGCCGGGTTTGGTAAAAAAATTGGCCTATAAGTCAATTTTGAATTATTTATCACTATTAATTGTTTGATTTAGTTAAAATATTAATATAAATATTTGGTTAATTAGCATTTTGCAACTTCAAATGACTAAAATTCAAAAAGCTACTCCTAGCAACTTTTTCAATTAACTTTTTGAGAAAAAAAATTATACCAAACAGCTATCAGCTAATAGCTAATTTACCAAACACTTTTCTACAATCAGCTAACGTTATCAACTATTTATACCATCTAATTAACACAATCCACTAACAGCTAACATCCATTTTACCAAACAGGGCCATAATCATTTTATGTAGTATTGATATTACCATTATTCACTTTTTGAAGTGAAAAATTCGATAGCTTACTAACAAGTTGAAGCGGGTTAAATGTATCATATATGAAGTCTATAACCTGAGGTGTGATTGAGTGGGAGGGACTCATTCATTCTTAATTAAAGGTCAATGGTTCAATCCTTGAATTTGGGTTTAGAACATCTTTAAATCTTTAGTCCAGCTGTCCCACTCAAAAGAAGTGCCTACAAACTATTAGTTTATATATATATATATATATATATATATATATATATATATATATATATATATATATAAATAATGACAACTTGTAATTAATTTACAATGTTAAACCATTAAACGATTTGTTAACAGGTTAAATACTCAAAATTATATTGTCAAAATTTCTACCTAATTTAAAAGTGCTCGAAACAATTGACAAGTCAATAATGGTCATTGGTCAGAATATCGACTAAAGTCACTGCTGAAAATTATGAAATTTTCGACCATCTAAAAGTGATATTAAATCAAGTTGAAAGTAAAAAGTGGTCGGAAATAGCAGCAAAGTTTTTTTCGGATATCAAAAGTGGTCGGAACAAGGCTTTCGATTTTATTTAAGATCACTTTCAGGTGGTCAGAAATTTCATAATTTTCAGCACTGAGTGTTGAATAGTTACTTAATATATAAATATAAGAAAAAAAATGCATTTTTAAAACCAAAATGTGATTTATTCTATTTAATTCCTTAATAT